TAACTTGTGTTCTAAGCTAAGGCAGGGAACTCAATTGCAATATTCAATACCATCTCCTAGCTAGAAACACATGATCTTAATTCAATTCCAGCAGTAATAGTCCAATTTCGAAAAAGAAAACACAGTACATTACAAATATGTCCCTTCCGCATCCACACGGCAACGACATACTTGTGTACGTACGTGAAACCCTAAACCATATGAATTATGGTTATTCTGTATTTTTTGTCATATTAAAACAATATATTTCATATAAAGAAAGTTAAAAAAGATAATTTGCTTTTTTTATTATTTTTAAAAAATTATGTAAGAAGTATATTTAAGTCCTCTCATACATGTTCTTTTTTTACTACTTTGAACGGCTAATTTAAATTTATTATTTTGATGATAAAAAAAACTCAAATCCTTAATACTTGTGTAAAAAAAAATAAAAAAATTATACTTTAGGTGGGTTTTTCAAAAAATTACCTCGTCAATACATATTAATGAAGGCAAAAATGAGTATGATCCGGTGTATGTAGTAACTTATGGGAAAATAAATGTGTATGGTCAATAGTTTAATCTAATTACTAGGCTTTTCTTAACGATAAGGGAACCCGCAACACTTGCCGTTAAGTGGGCTTAGGGTAACCCACCTTTTGTGTAGATTAGGTCTGCATCGGTCGGTTCGGTTCGATTTTATATATTATCAGTTCGATTTAATTATTGGTTTTCAATTTTTAAATACGTTAAATCAATAACCAAACCAATAAGAGATTTTCTATCGGTTTTCGGTTATCGGTTTTGATCATTAACGGTTCGATTTTCGATTTAACCAATAAGAAAATACTTATAAAATAAATATATGATTTCTCTAATAAATTTGACGCGACAACACAATAATGTAATGAAAAAACTATACAAGTGTAACACAAAGAGAAATTAAGAGGAATAAGGTTCTTACTTTAGATTTTGACGTTTTGTATAATGTGAAGTTGTGAACTAAAAGTCATTTTGAAGTGTGAATTGAAGGCTAGAGCATAAAGATAGTAACTAATAAGGTATTGAGATTAATATATAATATTTATGTACAAGTAAATGTAGTAAATTACTAGTCTTAATGGATTATCAGTTTACCCAATAACCTAATATTAAAAATCAATACCAAACTGATAACCCAATAATTTTTTTATAAAACTGTTAATCTAATAAAATAACAATAAATCAATAACACTTTTCGGTTCAATTCAATTTATCGATCAGTTCGATTTTCGCACACCTAGTATAGACTACGGTAGCTTACAAAAAAAGTAGAAAAGGTACTTAAATCACAAAGCAAATTTCGCGTGACAAGTTCAACCCACAAACCTCTGCTTTCGTAGGCATAGGGTTTTGATGTTGAGACCTAATCTACTACGCCTTAATTTGTGCATATTGTCACGAGCTATTTGTTTACTTGTAAATATACTTGATCAACACCATTCTCTTGCGTGTATTTCTTTTACCACTAAATGCACCTTGTTGACACTCACCAGACTTATTGAGTTTGGTTTATTAAACTCACTTACGAGTCCGTTTCAATTGACTTATTATAAGTGTTTTTAAGAAAATAACCTATGTTCATATGAAACTTGTACCCACCTTAGAAGATTTTTCTCCACGTGCCTTTTTTCTTTTTCATGTATATTTTTGCTATTTTATAACGCTAAAACTCAATACAATAATTAATAAATATAGCATACTTAGTATAATCTTAGTGGATAATACTAATATACACAAATTTCTAACTTGAAATTTTCCTGAACGAATGGAAAAGGAATTCATGTAAATGATGGATACCTTGTTATTTTTCCATTGCATGTTACATATCCTGCGCTTCCTTCGTATTTCAATTTTACGTTATTAATTAGATACTCCCTCTTTTTTGTATTGGTCAGCATCAAAATGGACACTTTTTGAACCCAAACATTAAAATGGACCTCTCTAAAAATACACACCAAAATGGACTCTTCACTTTTTCCCTTTTGATGTTTAGGGTTCAAAAAGTGTCCGTTTTGGTGCCGAACTCTTCACTTTTTCCTTTACATGTTTATTAAGAGATCATAAATAAGGACAAGTTACTGATTTACCCTTTAAATTTATTTTTTTGAGATTTTTACAAATTTGTTTACACTTGTAATTACTTACAGTGGTAAAATGGGTAAAACTTAACTAATTTCATTTTAATTTTGTAAATTGACAACGTATTTTGAGGCAACTATTTATAATAACGTGGACAACTAATCAGGGATAACAAATTTAAATTTATATTAAAAAAAAAGTTTGTATAGATATCTTTTTATTTGGATGACTCGTCGCATCTTGTTGCCATCCCTAAAGACAATGCATGTGATGATGTGAATAACAAAGTAAGCTAAATTTAGTTAGTATATTTATTGAATTTTAGGATGATATACATGTATGCAAGTTATTAGTTAAACCTCAAATCAATAATAATATGGGCTAAAAGCTATACCTAGCTAGGTGCAAGATAACTAGTAACTACAACAACTAAAGCACTAGCACCTAAATAGAATAATGGGGATAAAAGTTAAAGTTGTCCTTGCCCCAGCTGATCATATGGGCCAATCTAGTGGGCTAGCCCGTACATCAAATCTACTCTCAGATACTATGCTTCACTTTATCCTAATGTATTTTTATGAGTACTATAAGTTGTTAGGTGTAATTTGTTTTAAATATATTGTATTTGAGTGTGATTCATATATATTTGGGATATGCTGACTCTCTCACTCGTCTCTCTCTATGTATCAGTATTTCAGAATGTATTTAGTATCAACGATACATATACCTATTCTCAAAGAAACGTATTACTCTCTCGCTTGCCTCTCTTCCTGTGTATCTGTATTTCATAATGTATCTGGTATCAAGGATACAAATATCTAGTATCAAAAATGAAATTTGAAGGAGTGGTGTATCTGACTTGAAATCTAGTGCGAAATTATTAATTAGTGAGACAATATGTAATTATTTCAAATTATAGAATAGATTAGTATATATGATAGAAATGTTTATGTAGTTAGATAGTCTCTCCCCTTTATATTATCCATTTTCCTATTTTTGCTTTAGGAGTTCTTTAAAGTGCGGGTCATTCATTTCACATCTCCTTTTGTTGGTATTCATTTCCATCTAAGATGTACACGTAACGATTCACTATTTTGATAAACTTATGAACCAAAACAACAATTAATACTATATTCCAATCCAAAACAAGTTAGGTCGACTATAATATTTCATTTAAGTTCAATTCATCATCATCGACTCATCGTACGTAAACTTTTGAGAAGAACATGTTTCACAAACAGATTCACAACTATATACCAAAATCCACAATGTTCGAAATATTATGGCCACAAACAATTTCTACCTTAATGTTGCTTTTGAAGGAATGACATGAAATATATCCAGTGGACCTATTGATTGAAACATATCTATAAAATCATGGTGATGAAGTTGGCGTTTAGTAAGTTTGATGCACATTGGAACAAAGTTAAAATGGATAAATATAATAGCTAGGCTTAGAATAGGATTCCCCTTTCAATTTGTGCCTTTTTAAGTTGGCTTGGTTATACCTTTGATTGGAGTGGAATCTCTACAATTTTTTTAGATGTTTTCAGGTTATCGTGTTTAATTTGGATATGAACTTCACTTAAAAGGAAAAAAAATGGTGTATTGCGAGTGGAAATTAAAGGTGTATTCAGATTTTTAGAGTTTGTAGGTCTCTACAATGATGTCACGATAATATAAGCATTACATACATATTTTTTGAGCAAAAGTTATTAGGTTCACGTGAACTCGTAACACATACACTAGGTCCACCTCCGATGAAAATCAATACTTAACTTAACTTGAAATAGTTTTTCAACTCCAAATTTTCTATCTCAAGTTATATAATCGAATAATAGACAAAGTAGAAGAGACAATGATTTGCAAATAACGTCTCAACATTAATGAAATGATAATCTCAAAGGGCTGTACTATGCATAAATGAAAAAGTAGAGAATAATAATGTATACAATAATGAATTGATGAATAGTTACCTTTTTTTAACCCCTTTCTAAGAGTTTCCATTTTGTTTGATCTTTTTATGCAAATCTATCATTTTAGGTACTTTGACATAATTCTAAGAGCTTGTTTGGTTGAAAATAAGTTATTTTAAAATTAATTATTTTAATATTTTTATTTTATCTTCAATATGAATAAAATAACATTACAATTCAGAATAATTAATTTCAAAAAAAAGTTATTGTTCCAATAATAAATAAGATAAATTGATACTAAAAATAATTTTGGAATTAATCATTCTTTATCCCTTTTATCAAACGAGTCCAATGAGTTTTCATCTTATCTTTTTGCTTTTTGCTCTTTTACTTGTTTAAACCCACAATTTTAGAATGAAAGAAATATAACAAAACACTAATAAATTCGTTGTGAATTATTAGTTTCATTCTCGAATTATTGATTGTCTTAAAAAATTCTTTTTCTTCACTAATTGAACTTAAATACACTTCCAATCTCATAACATGAGTGAAATATACCCCTAAATTCTCGTCAAGTTTAGCGGTGTTTTCAATACCTTTCTCGACTTTTTATTAAGATCTTCATACTCCTATAAGAGTTTGAGACTACTTGTTATATCATGTGGCAGATCGATGGTATATCTAAGATTAATTAGTAAAATAAAAGGGTATTTTTAAGACTGTCGATAATTCAAACACGAAACTAATAATTTAGATCAAGTTCTTGCTCAGGGTTTGCCAAGCACCTGATTAAACCCCTCTTGTGGTGAGTAGCAATTAACACACATATATAAGCACTTATATATGCATGTGCTCTTCAATCATTCTATCTTCTTTCTCTGCCATCACCTACCCCCTACACTCTCTCCTCCCCAGCCCACGGCAGCGCCACCACAAACCACCCCCATCGCCACCACCGCCGTCAACATCTGACCAGCAAAACAAAATGCCAAGAATTCTACAAAAAAAATTCTACCATTGCCTGCCTAGTTTCAAATGCTTTCCCACAACTCTCTCTCTTCCTTTTGAAGAAACAGAGGAAGAAAAAACAGAGCAAAAAAAAATCAAAAATTTCAACTCTGTTTTCGACATTCCCAGCTCTGATTCCGCTACCACTTCTAAATCACTCACTAATTCCTCCATCGCAACTACAGAAGAAGAAGATAACAACACTAATTACATTTTCACTTCTTTTGAAGATTCCGATTGCACTAATACTCCAGATTTCTCAAATATCTTCGCTTCTCAACGATTCTTCTTCTCTTCACCCGGTAACTCCAATTCCATAATCGATTTTCCGGTGGAAAATCCCAAAGAAGTTGTCACCGGCGGCGTTGCTGTACAAACGTATTCACCCGACCCGTATGCGGATTTTCGAAGATCAATGCAGGAAATGGTGGAAGCTCATGAGTTGACGAACGGGAAAGCAAATTGGGAATTTTTGCATGAACTTTTGTTATGTTATTTGAATCTTAACCCGAAACATACTCATAAGTATATTATTGGTGCTTATTCGGATCTTGTTGTTTCTCTTATGTCTATCGACGATTCGGAAAAAAAGACGGAAGGTACAGCTAGGCCGTGTGAACAGACAACTATCGTACTGTAAAAAAAGTTTGATGGATTTGATATGTATGTATTTATTAGGGCATGATCATTCTATTTATTAAATTCATCGAGTTGTTCAGAATGATCAAAAGTCGTGGATTTGTATTTTTAAGAGAAGAAGAAGAAATGATGGTATCGGGAGAATAAGCATCAACTAACAACTTTAATCCATGAGGATCGCCCCAATAATGATATGATATCAAAATTCAGCAGTTGATTTAGAGTTTTGAGTTTTGAGTTTATAGATTCTGAATTTTGATAGATGCAGAGCTTATTGGATTCTCAATAAATTATTTATACATATTAAGTGGATTTCTTAACAGAAGAGTACTCTGGATATTGTCCTAAGCTACTAATTACTATAGGATTTTGGTGAAGCTGTAACTGGAACTCTAACTCCGTCCTTGTCCAAAGCTACTATAGGGTTATGTTGAAGCTGTAACTGGAATTCTAGCTCCGTCCCTGTATCAAATCATCGTTGGGTTAACTTTCTTTTCCTTTTTTTCTTTTAACTTTCTAAATATGTTTTTGAAAGTTATATTTAGTTTTGTGTATTTTTCTTGAAAAGTTTTGTCTTTGGTGTGACAAAGTTGGACATGTTTTCTTCTAAGAAGACAAAGTTGGAAAAATCAAAATAAAAATTTATAAGAAACCAAGTAAAGCGTGGTACGTTAATATTATTAGTGCCTCGATGCATGTAATATTTCTAACGTCTTATATTGTAAAAAATAAAAATATTCTAGTAAAAGAATGTTTTTCTCCTCGTTTCAGTGAATGTTTTTTTGAATCATATTGGGAAATGTTATATGGATTCTTGATTATTATTTTTAATTGGCTGTTTGATTAAATTATGTAGAAAAAATATTTATTGTGTTTGGAGAAAGTGAATGGACAAAAGAACAGCTTCTTATGTAAATGTTGTCTTAAAAAACTTACTTTGTGGTCCATATAACTTTTTGGAATTTATTAAGCTTTTTAGTACACAAAGTCACAAGCAATTTCTGGCTTTCATTTGTCATTTAGACAGAGCTAACAAGTACTGCTAGCTACTGGACTTCTAGTTTGCCAGAAAAAATAATATTTTCGATCAGTGTTATATTGTCGTTTTGGGAAATCTTAATAACTCTTTAGTTAGTTATCTGAACTCCCACTTTATTGGTGAGGGTTCGATTGTCCACGTAATCCCCTCCCCATTTCCTATTTTCAGACACCCAATTTTTTTTAAAAAAATAAAAAGTGTTGTTTTGGGGATTTTTAATTTTCTCTAATTAAGAAATAAATTCAAGTATACATATTTCTAAATTAAGAGAGATGCAGAAGAAGATGTCCTCCTTAACTGGTCAAAGGTCTCATTCATAACTATGGGTAAAAAATGGTTAATATTATAAATTGTTATCCCAAAATAAATTAATAATGTTAAACAGACGTATATGGTTAGAATATATAATTTAAATCTTCTATAAAGGAGAAAATAATGATTATGTAGTCTGTAGTTGTTTTCTTAAACCTTATATATTTGTTTTTCGTTTCTTAATTATCGTTTTCTGGTTCATTTGATGAGAAAATGGCAAAAAACGGTTTGTTATCTTTGATAGTAAGTTCAAAACGATCTCTTAAATATCAATTGAGTAGTTTTGATTCTTTAAATTTATTAAAAATGAGTACTTTTGATTTCCGGTGTCTACTAAACTCTGTTATAATATTAAATCGAAATTGTGGGATTATTTTTAACCACAAACACCAGAAATTTTCATCAAAATTTAAAAAAAAAATTGCAACATAAGAAACTAACCATACACAAAAATAAATAGACCAAAATAACAGAAGTAGCACTAGACTCTTGAAATAGACCAAAAAATAACCTAAACTATGAAACTTATACTTCTTAATGTGAATTCCTATTAATTATTCTCTATTTTTCACAATTTTTTTCAAATCTAACAACCAGAGTTTGATAAATATCTGACTGTGTTATCAAAATGCTCACTTTCAATAAATATAAAGGACTAAACTGTGTAAGTGATGTTTAAGTAACCATTTTAAATCTATTATATATACCCAAGACAAGGGGCCATATATTTTTTGTTATTTTCTCTATTTCTGACTGTGTTTTGCTTTTTTTTTGTGTGTGTTTTCTGTCATCTTCAAAGCCTACTATATGATTCAATTTGTTCTCATTTTCTATAAAATAATTTTTTTTTAAAAAGAATTAAGGAGGTAGAGTGGAAGGATATATTATTTTCTTTACCCTTCTAATTTATTTATTTTTTAAGAAAAAAGAATCTTGATAAATTTGCCAAACAAGTCAACCACAAGCAGACAAACTCTAACAAACAATATTATTACTGTTATCATATAGTATCATGGTTTAAATAATTATAAGGCGCCAAAAGATAAATAAATAAGGTGCCAATAAATAAAACAAAATAAAAAAAAGTGCCTGATTTTGGGCATGAAATGAGTATTGCAGCATTACAGAATGAACCACCAACTTTCTATAATATATATGGTATCCTACTAGCTAGGAGCTAATTAATTAATTAATCATAAGTCTTATCATCTTGGAAAATTAATTAAATATTCCTTTTAGCCAAACTTAAGGGTGACAATCCAGGATAATTATTTTAGTTCTGCAAGTAATTAAATAGACAATTATTTTGCTGAAAAAAGTAAGTAAATAGTTGATGTGTTGAGCCAATAAGAAGAATAAAGTAACCATAAATAGAAGGCTTACAATGTATGCCAATAAATGTGATTTAATAAATAGAGGTACAATGGTATTTTCCTTGTTTTAATGAGAGAAAGAAGGATGAATGTAAGACTATAATTTATAGAAAGATCCAATTGAATCACAAGAGAATACTAACTCGTTTTTATTATAACAATTGAACACTTCAACTTACAAAATAATTTTCTAGACATGCCTTTAAAATTTATATGTCATGTTAGCGTCGAGTGTCTACAAGACACAATGAGGACGAGTTAGAGTGTTTACTTGTTAATTGAGACCAAGTTAATGTGTTTTGATGTGCGTACTCTCAAAATTGAAGAGTTTACTTGCCAACTGAAGCTAAATTTGAGTGTCTTATTTATATATTTATGCCAAAATTTAAATATGTGACATTAAACATATCGTAATTATAATAAAACCTTCTCATTAAAGATAAATGAGAATTTTTTTGGAACGTATTTAGAAAAAAGTGTCACATTAACATTTGATACAACTTAAGGTTCTCTCACTCCGCTAACTATATATGTGTACTCTTCACATCAAATTAAATATCGTAACATGATATATATATATACGTGCCATATACTAAAAATAAATAGCTTGTGGATAATGGATAAATAATTTAATGATTTAAAATTTTATAATAGCATATTTTTAAAATATAATATATATTAATGTAGTTTTGTTTGCCCCTAAGACCTTAGTCAGGTACTCCCTCTATCCCTAATTACTTGTCCACTATTGAATTGACACACCTATTAAGAAAATAATTATTGACATAGTGAGTTTACCATTTTACCCCTATTAATTATGAAGTGGGTGGATTAAAAATTTAAGATTTTCAAAAAATTGTATCTTTTTCAAAGTAATTAATTGAGGGTATAATAGGTAAAATTATTTTGTCCTTTCTTGATTTGTCAAAATGAACAAGTAATTAGGAACAACTATAAAAGAAAAAGTGGACAAGTAATTAGGGACAGAGGGAGTATCATTTTTTGCCAGATCATCATCTCTATTAGGCAATATTATCATAGAGTTTTCTATAATTACCTATTAATTATTTAAAACTTTTTTACACCATCAATGCAAGAACTTAAACTCGTAATTAAGAAGTTAAACTAGTTAGATTATGATTTATGAGTTTGGCTACGTCAGAAAGAAGGGTATCCAAGGACGATTAGTAACTATCCCTATCAGTAATGAAAATTATTAATATAAATGAGTTTTAGGTAAGTGACAGCATATAACTACTTTCGAACAACTTTATTAATTAGGCATATTAAACGTGCATTATTTATAAATATTTTGTGGGATTTGAAATGACACGAATTAATTAGTTCTCTAAACAGTTTTTTTTCCGACCTGTTTTGAACGGTGAGCTTAAACAACATATTCAGTGAAATTTCACTTGGTGGGATCTGGGGAGGGTAGAGTGTACGTAGACCTTATCACTATCTCGTGGAGATAGAAAGACTGTTTTTGTATAATTGTTTAAAGTTCATATGTTTATGTTTGTATCAATTCGTTATTTCAAGTTTTATCGTATTTGTATAATTTCAGACTTTATATTACTCAATTATACAAAATCACGTGAATGATACAAACGTAGCCGCGAATTATACAAATCATCGCCCTCTCTCGCTCGCCTCTCTCCTCCCTCTCCCAATCTCGCTTGCCATATATACAAATGCATATATATAATATACAATTATCTCACCGATATACATATACAATTAACCTCTCTCCCACTCTCTACCCTCTCTCGCTCGCCTCTCTCCCACTCTCTACCCTCTCTCGCTCACCTCTCTCCTCCCTCTCCCATTCTCGCTCGCCTCTCTCCTCCCTCTCCCAATCTCGCTTGCCATATATACAAATACATATGTATAATATACAATTTCTAACCGATATACATATACAATTCACCTCTCTCCCACTCTCTACCCTCTCTCACTCGCCTCTCTGCTCTCTCTCAATCTCGCTCGCTTCTCTCCTCCCTATAACATGTAGCTACGAATCATACTTATCAAACTATAGCTATGGAGAGTAATTAGGCTATTTTTGAGTGGGTATATGCGAAAATTCCTCAGTAAAATAATCCTTTTTTAAGTTAACAATAGATTTTATTTTCTTAGGAAGAGAAACCCCCAAGAAAAATGATAATCACTAAAAATGCTGGGGAGATTTCATTTCTATTGTAAAAATAAATATAGGCTGAGAAATGAGAATATAATTAAGAGTGTAAATTGTTAGATAGAGATAGTCACATGTTTTAATAAGATACATTTTCTTCCAGCACTATA